ACCTCCATGATAAAGGAAATGTTGTTATTCCTTGAGGACCCGGGTTTGAGCACCATAGATGGTAAGAGTATAAACGTTTAATGTTGAGAGGTTAAAAATTATCTTTTAATAGATAGTGTCTTATACTTATCATAGATTAATCCAAAAAAAATGTAAAAAAAAGGCAAAAAGGGAAAATATATGAGTATATTATGCGAATTTTGTCCATAAAGAATATATGTTCCCAATATGTGTCAAAGACACATAATTGCATAGATACGAGTTAGGTGATGACAATGACACACGTGTATTATTCTTATGTTCAATCATGTGATAAATACATGTTTAAAAAGTTATACTTAAAAACTTGAAAATATTTGTGAATGTAAAGACTAAATTGAACACATAGTAAAAGTTAAATTTTAAAATATCAATTTTAAGGAGTTTAAGTTGGTAAAACTAAAAATTGAATATGTATAAACGAACACGTTCATGAACGATAAATGAATACATTTATGAAGATATAAACAAACATGTTCATGAACATATTCGTGAACAATAAATAAACTAACACAAACATCTTAAAAAATAAATAAATGAACACGATATTAAAAACTTAAATGAACACAAACCGAACATAAACACCTTAAAAGATAAACAAACGAAGACGAACATAACATTGTTCGTTCAAGCTATGTTCATTTACACCCCTAATCTTTATTAGATCTTAAGTGACTAGTTTTGTGTCAGTGATTATAAGAAATATCTTAATTATATTTTTAAATTATGCTTATACTTATAAACTTGGCGAATTTCCCAATTAACTTTTCTTTTTGATAAATGTATAACTTTATTTCCCTGTTAGACACCCGTTGAATTTTATTTCTCGATCTAACACCCTTTGTAAAAAGGCGCAGCTCATGCACCGCGCCTTATCCTGATGTGGCGCCACATGGCAGAATGTGCGGCCCATGCACCGCGCCTTACCCATAAGGCACGGTGCATGAGCCGCACCTTTTACCACGTATGGTATAGCCCAATGCACGGGTAGCGCCTTCGCCTTAAATCCGACCCCCACCCGCCCGTTCACACCCCCATCTCACCCTATAAATTCATCCATTCTCAATCATTCTCATCACATCAAATCCTCTCAACTTCTCTCAAATACTCTTAAATTAACTCATAGCTCTTTAAGGTATATTTTATTATATTTAATATTTTGTTAGTATTTTATTTAATTATTTAAATTTGTTAATATAGTTATAAAATAGAATGTGGCCTGCTTCGTTTGGATGGAAATCATATATCTAGACATTATGTTGATACGGTAATATTTTTACATTTTAATTTAATTTAAATTATTAGTAATAATTTATTTATTTATTTTTTGATTATTAGTTTATAAATTAATTTTTGTAATTATTAATATTTTTAGGATAGCGATCGTATATTAGATCCATTTATCTGGAACCTTAAGTTAGCAATACCAACCCGGGTCTAGCCGTATTTAGTCGAGGCTGGATTCGATCACATAGCTAGATATGAAGGCCATTGTAGGATAGAACCAAACCTGATTTCTGCATTAGTGGAGCAGTGGAGGCCGGAGACTCACACATTCCATCTTTCTTGCGGAGAGTGCACGATTACGCTTGAGGATGTTTCCATGCACTTGAGGCTTCCGGTAGATGGAGATGTGATTTCAAGGATGGCGTAGGGTAACTGAAATAGTTTGTGCGAGGAATATCTAAGAGGTGTCCCGCGAAATTTTAACGGTGGTCGGATACCGTTAAATTGGTTAGATGCAATTTTTCATAATTTGAGTGAGAAAGCCTCAGAGGATCAAGTTAAAAAGTATGCACGAGCATGCATATTGCACCTGATAGGAGGGTTGCTAATGCCGGACAAATCACACAACCAAGTTCACTGTATGTAGTTGGGGCATCTTGGCGATTTTCATCTGGTCAGATCAATGAGTTGGGGCTCAACAATTTTGGCATTCCTGTATAGGGAGATGTGTCGAGCGAATGACTATAGGAAAAATGCTATCGGAAGATGTCTCCTTCTGCTGCAGTCCTGGGCATGGTATCTTTTGCCCTTTTTATGTCCTGTTATGAAGAACTCGTTCGTATTCCCGCTGCTATTGAGTTAATTACAAAACTGATATCGTGTATTAATCATTTTATTTAGTGTATAATAAAAATTATTTCCTTGAATAGGTGGTCTATTGACAGGAAAAATCATCGGGATCTACCTGATGAATTAGAAATAATCAGGCTACTAATCGATCAGAAGGTTGGCACAAAGGTATGTATTTTAATGTTTGAAAACTTATTTTGTATTGTAATTATATAATTAGATTATTATTTTGATAAGAATTATATATATTTGTTTTAGTTTGAATCGACTCCTTATTGTAATGATGATATGAGGATGTGCATCCTACCTGAGTTAAGGGGCTTGTTTGATGTTTTGATGGTTGTGGTCCATATGATCTGTTATGCGATTGTCGAATGACACCCCACTGATCGTGTGCTCCAACAATTTAGTTTTGTACAACCAATTCTGGAAGCACCTTGAAATATGGACCAATTGCATAACACAGATCGACGCGGTAAGACGTATATAGATTAGGTGGTGAGGCATTATGAGTGGGTCATGATGTGGGAGGATTGACATCGACGCATTCCCCATAGAGAACCCATTTATGTTGACCATTTGACGGTTGTAGATGGTTTTTATGAGTGGTTCAACAGTAACGGGAAATCTTTTATGCTTTCTGAGGATGCACGAGGACGGAGCATTCATTGACGTCGACAGATAAAGATCGAATGAACTTATGAATCAAAGATAAGAGAATTATTTACGGGTGATATTTAGAGGTTGAGAGGATTATTGTTTGATGTTTTCGGTTAAGAGGTTGTTGCGTGAAAGTTTACGGGGGAGTGGTTTATTTATAGCCGTGAGGAAATGCTTTAAAGCCGAGAAGTGCGTATACAATTATACAAGGTACGACCCATGCACCGCGCCATTTTGACGCGTGTCAGAATGTCAGGAAGGCGTGGCCCATGCACCGCTCCTTACCCAGCGTGACGCCATGTCAGCATAAGACGCGGTGCATGGGTCGCATCTTCTGCCACGTGGCGCTGCATCAGGGTAAGACGCGGTGCATGGGCCGCGCCTTTCTGCAAAGGGTGTTAAATCAAGAAGTAAAATTCAACAGGTGTCTGACAGGGAAATAAAGTTATATAAGGTGATTTATTGGGAAATTCGCTTATAAACTTTCATTGTAATTTTTTAATATTTTAATTAAAACTAGCTGGTTTTATCTGTGTAAAAAACTACTTCTCCTATTGTACAATAGGTACATAATATATTTTTATTACACATTTAATTTTGATTAGTTCATATTTGTAATTTTAATATTATATAGTTAAAACGTGTTATTAAAATGTAGACGTTAAAACTTTAGATATAAATAAGATAATTTAAAAAAAAAGTATACCTAATCATACAAGAAAACAATATCTATTTAATTATATAAAATATAATTATTGCACTATTAAAAGAATTAGGTACCTAATTATATAAAAGATAGATATCATATTACCCACAAGTTATATATACCTTATACTAATATCACACAGAATCAGCCTGAACCGGACACGGCGGACAAATACCTCTGGAAAACAGGTTAAAGACCAACAATATTACCGTAGAATCAACCCCCAAGAATTTGATAGCAGTCAACAAAATCACCCTGAGAGAGTGTTGTTTAAGACAAAGGGTTAATTGCACGATTCTGAATTATGGGTTGAATTCTCTAAATAGCTTGTTAAGCTTTAAAACTTTCAATTAAATCCTCAAATTAAAGTAACACTCTAATCAAATCGCTCCGTATGTTTGACTTTAATTTATGGTGTTAAATGTTAAATCATTTCCAATACATTTAAATAATTAAATTTAAGGAGTGATCTCATAAACAAAGAATATTATGTTTTTTTTTGCAGGAGATTTGGATTCAAACAATGTATGTATAATGTGCTTGAGTTTTCTTCAAGTTAAAAACATAATGTATATTATTATATGGTCACATTATGATATTAAATATATCAATTAATTCACGTAAATTTAGAACATAAACTATCAACATTTAAACGTTAAAATTCACAACTAAACGAACAAAAGATAGAGAATCTAACATTATAAATTTTTAATGAAATTATATTTTATCTTAAAAAATATGTTTATATAAAAATATATTCATAAACTTATATTCAACAGATGTTTATAACCGGAATGATAAAAATTTTACTTATAATTTAAGATAAACTATGTATTTAGTTATTCAATTATCACTTTGGTTTTATTCTGGTCATTTAATTGTTTTCCAAAATCATATATAACATTACATTTTAGTTCTTTTTTGATCACCTACTATTAAAAATAAACTAAACCACTGATGTGATAATTTTTTTATCTTATTTAATGATGCCATGATATTATCTTACGACGGCATATTAACATCATCATTAATCATTTCACGGCGGATGACTAAACAAAACAAAAACATAACTTCAAGTATAATTAAAAAAATAATAATAGTTTAATGACTAAAATGTAATCAAAATGATAGTTGAGTGACTAAATCATGTAGTTTACCCTATTATTTATTTGTGACGTGTTCGATCTTTAATTATATATTTTTATTTAAAATATTAAAATACTCTATAATAATAATAATAATCATTTAAAAAATTATACTCATTTTATAATTAAATTGATATCAAATTAACTCAAAACACAACTTAATACTAAAAGTATAGATAATACAGATAGATTAAGTGCTAGTTGATTTCTGTTCCTAAGCACCCTTTCTTCCTCCCGTATGTAAAAAATATTTTTGTTCAATAATTAAGAATATTAGTATTTAATTGAAATTAAGAATTTTACCAGTACTTCTTCTTTCATGGCAGTCGATTATAAGGACAAACGCGTTTGCGTTTGCGTTTGCAAAAAAGCATGGACATCATTTGATGCAAAAACAAGTCTCCGATGATTTTTCCTCTCATCTTTTCTCCATGTGATCGGTTTAAAACTTGTAAGTTTCACTGCTCTTCATTTGACACCTTTATCTTATTATAATTATTATTTCATTGTTTTGAGCGCAATCCATATATTATTTGTTTATTTTAATGGTATTAAAACTCACTAAGCTTGGAAATTTCAGCTATCTGATTTTTTTATTGGTAATGTTTGAAACTTTAAAAAATTAAATACTTTTGTTTTGCTTCATTGTTGTTTGTGTCTTCATTAATCCAAATGGGCAAGTTTCGACATTGCATCGAAAAAGAGGGAGCATTGTTGGAATTTGGAAAGGGCCGGAGGGGCCCGTCTTCTCTCATGTTTCCCTTCATTTTCTGGGTTTTTGTAGGGTAAAATTCAATTGAATAATGGTGGATTTGCTTGTAACTTGGGATGAAGTTTTGTTTTTTGTTTCTGTTCTTGTCTCGTATTTTGGTTGCTTTTTTTATGGTTATTTGTTTCACCAATCATGAGATAGTTATTGTTTCTGCATGATTCAACATTATGTTTGATTGAAACTGAAAGAATTGTCATTAAAAAAATCTGGGAATTTGCTTTCTTAGATGATCATATTATCAGGAAAGGTAGTTTGTATTAATCTGGGTTCTATTTTGATTGATTATATAGCTTATTTTGTTACAAGAGCTTTCAAAGAGTTCTCATATTATGCTCTGCATGTCTTATTTCGTCTGGATGTTCAATTGCATACGAATTCATAATTTGCTTTCAGCATGTTGTGTTGAAGTATCTTTCTTATGGTTGAAATCTAGTTTATATCCTTTGTTACAGGGGAATAGAGAGTGAGGCGTTTCGAAAATAGGTGAATATATTTGGAGTAGCAATGGCTCCTGGTGGCAGTGTTTGCAAAGAAGTTGTTGAATCTCTTCCTACTGTTGCAGACTATGAAGTTGGTATGACAAAAACCGAGAGTAATCCTACAACAACAAAAAGTTCTGTTGGTTTCGTTGGCAAACACGTTCATTCAAACAATGGTGTTTATCAGCTCCTTGAGTGTCCTTTATGCAAAAATTTGATGTACTCTCCGATTCACCAGGTTTGTTACATGCCAACACTTGTTCTTAAAGATATAGGCTTCTTGTAGTGTTTTCTTTTACCTTTTTTCATTATTTTTCCTATTAGAATTTGCTTTCATACGCTTCTATGGAAATAAGTGTTGATATCTGTATTCTGGAGTGAAAATGGAGGCAAAGAGCTGGCTATGATGTCCTATTAAATTAGGTTGTTCAGTTATGTAATCATGAAGTGTACGGAGTCAAGCACAAGCAAGGGTTTATGGACATAGTGTTAGAGTGGAAAAAAGGGCTATTAATGTCTATCAAAAGAATAGCTTTTCATCTTGGAGCTTAGGTGCTGCATTGAAGAGTTATTTTCATGGGGGGAGATGGGAATGTAATCATTGTGCTTGTAAACTGATTTGGGAGGAATTGGGAAAGTTTTGTCGAAACATAGGCTCATTTGGTCTTTAGTGAAATATCATTAGTTTCTATGCGGATCTTGACTACGATAAAGAAAATTTGTTCGTAACATCAAATTTGTAAAAATTATTCGGTTACTGAAAATTTACACGGTTTGTGTTCAATCTTCTTTTTCAGTGCCCAAATGGACACACTTTGTGTTTGAACTGCAAGATTAGAGTGCACAATTGCTGTCCGTCATGCCACTATGATCTTGGAAATATAAGGTGTTTAGCTTTGGAGAAATTTGCGGAATCCTTGGAACTCCCTTGTAAATATCAGAGCCTAGGTTGCCATGATATCTTCCCCTATTACAGCAAGCTTGAGCATGAGCAGCACTGTCGGTTTCGTCCCTACAATTGCCCCTATGCTGGTTCTGATTGCTCTGTCACAGGTGACATCCCAACCCTCATTGCACATCTCAGGGATGATCATAAGGTCGACATGCATGATGGAAGTACCTTCAACCATCGATACGTGAAATTGAATCCACATGAGGTTGACAGTGCGACATGGATGCTTAGTGTAAGTTTATGCTACAATACATGACAATCAATGTTTCTATGCTTCTCCCGTAATAGTTGTTTGTGAATTGCGATAAACATTAAGGTTGTCAAGTTTAAGTCGCTCAAGTTCTTGCAAATACTGGGGAGATTATGTGATTTCTCTTATTGAAGTTATAGTTAGTGCTACTCTCAAACTGCAACTCTTATGCTTTGGAAACGATTCCTATACTTACTCTTTTGAGTTTCAATGCAATCTGTCATAATGTGTTGATCTACTGTTCTTAAGATCAAATTAAATCCTGTATTTCTGTGAATCCTGGTTCTACTTTTTAATGTTAACATCGCGTGCAGGTGTTTAATTGTTTTGGAAAACAGTTCTGCTTGCATTTCGAGGCTTTCCAGATCGGGATGGCACATGTATATATGGGCTTTTTACGTTTTATGGGTGACGATAATGAAGCAAAAATGTTCAGCTATTCTTTGGAAGTTGGTGCCAACGGTCGTAAGCTAATATGGCAGGGGATTCCTCGGAGCATCCGGGACAGTCATCGGAAAGTTCGCGACAGTCAGGATGGACTTATTATTCAAAGGAATCTAGCTCTCTTTTTCTCCGGTGGCGATAGGCAAGAGCTGAAGTTGAGGGTAACTGGCCGTATATGGAAAGAAGACTGAGATGCAAAACAGTGTAGAATTCAGGTGATTTCTACAGTTTTAAAAAATTTCCAAGTCTCGTTTGCAAACAGACGAAGCTTTCGATTTTCCCCTCGATTAGGGCTTTCTTTTGTAGTTTACATATCGTCTATGTCCGGCGAATGCTTAGTGCAGGAAATTATGGTTTATTTGACGCAATTTGGTTGCTTGAAGTTTAATGCCACATGTATGCAGAGTTCCTATTGAATCCTTGAAAGGCTTTTGGCATCTGGTTTGCAAATCTAGCTTGATTTTTCCTGCAAATTTCCCGAGGAAACACGTACCGTCCCTACTCCATCTGGAAGTTAGCTCAGACAAGAGACTTTGCACTCTGACGTCGAAGCAAAATTTGACTAAATTGAATCTTTTACAACTTTCATCCTCAATTCAAACAATTAGGGACCACATTGCAAACTTGCAAAATCATCATATCAATAAAAGATTTAGCACCGGATGTTTTATTAATAATTAATGAAATGTTGTAAATATAGGGACTATTTTGAAATAAGTATAAAAGCTGTGGCAAACACACAAGTTATACCGATAAAATACAGTTTTATAAACAATTACGTGAGAAATGGTATGATATATAAGTTAAGGTATTGATTATTTTTTTCTTTCAAGTTTGATGTTCTAAAAGTTAAAAAAAAAAAATGCATGAATGTCGATACTTATTAACACGTATTAACAAATAAAATTTAAGAATTTTATTAAATTTGTATATACCTCTAACCGTACAAGCACAAATAAAATTTTAAGAATTTTAGTATGTATCATTTAAATTATAAAAAAGAAATAAAAAATATTATAAAAATTTAAATGATTATTTTAGATGATACAGCTTCACGAATCTATTATGATAGATACAATACGAATCCAAAATTTTTTTCCCTTTTTATTTTGATTGTGAAGTTAGAATAAAAGCAGACTACAAATAGGAAAAAAAAGAGAATGGAATTGGGTAAAGAGACATGCAAACGTGAACCCACGTAGAATTTGGTTAGTTTGAAGATTAGCGGTTAAAGTATAAAGAGAGCCGAGTTCGTCGCAAAACAATGAACAAACATGCGTGTGTGTTCCAAAAAAGAGCCAAGGGGGAGAATTAACCTAAAAGAAGAACGAAACAACATTGCAAAAATTCTCTCTTTTTTTCCCTTTACATTTGTTTCGTTTCTTCTCTGCAATCAGCCTCCCCCCTCCCCACCCTCTCTATTCAGCCTTTCATAGCTTATTATTATTATTACTACTTTCCTTTGAATTTTATTTTATTTTTCGATCATAGCCTTTCGGGTATGTTTCCAATGCTTTGATTCGATTATAAATATTGGAATTCGAATGATTTTAATTTTCCATGCAGGATTGAATCCAATCTAAAATAGTTTTCTCTGAATGAAAAAAGTTTACAATTTAACATCCTAAGCTATGTCGTGCTGTGGAGGTGCGGAGGAGGAACTAGACGGTCCACCACCGAACCAATATCAAGCCCCGCCTAGTCAATACGGTGGTGCCGGTGATTGCTCCCCACATGCCCCGATTGTTCTATTTTGGTTAAATTGTGATTTTTGTCCTTATTAATTTTATTTTTACAGCGAGTGGAAGAGGTAGAGGAGAGCCAAGGGGTGGCCCGACGACTAAAAGTGGGGCAGGTTCTGAACAAATTCTACCAATTGAATTACCAGCCATTCCATTAGAAGAGTTAAACCGGATGACTAATAACTTTGGGCAACAATCTTTGATCGGAGAGGGTTCTTATGGCCGAGTTTTTTATGGAGTTTTAAGTGATGGCCAGCCTGCAGCTATTAAGAAACTCGACACCGGTTCTTCTCCTGAACCCGATTCTGACTTCGGATCACAGGTTTAGTTGTTACTTTTTTAATTTAAACAGCTTTAAACATTTCTCTGACAGGTAATTTTTTTTATTTTTTTTGTCAGTTATCAATAGTTTCAAGACTTAAACATGACCATTTCGTGGAGATGTTGGGGTACTGTTTGGAGGAGAATAACAGAATCTTGGTATATCAGCATGCAACAAAGGGATCTCTACATGATGTATTGCATGGTAAAATAAAATGCTCAGTTTCACCATTCATATGAAGAAAAAAGAAGAAGAAATCATTCTTATTATGTTTGATTTATTAGGGAGGAAAGGAGTACAAGGGGCTGAACCGGGACCAGCTCTAACATGGAGCGAAAGAGTAAAGATTGCATTCGGTGCTGCAAAAGGGCTTGAGTATTTGCATGAGAAAGTTCAGCCTTCTATCGTCCATCGTGATGTGCGCTCGAGCAATGTGCTCCTTTTCGACGATTTCGTCTCCAAAATTGCCGATTTCAATTTGACGAATCAATCTTCCGACACCGCAGCTCGACTCCATTCTACTAGAGTCTTGGGTACCTTTGGCTACCACGCCCCAGAGTAAGCCTTTCATTTTTAACATAATTAACAGAGATTTTGGTCAATTTTTTTCCAAAAACTTTTTTTTGTTTCTAGGTATGCTATGACAGGGCAAATAACACAGAAAAGTGATGTATACAGTTTTGGAGTCGTTCTTCTTGAGCTCTTGACTGGGAGAAAACCAGTAGATCATACAATGCCCAAAGGACAACAAAGTCTAGTTACTTGGGTATATCTTCTTCCCCCCCCCCCCCCTCTTAATACATACATACATTTGCAGCCCTTTAAAAGGTGTATCTAACTCATTTTTCAGGCAACTCCAAGATTAAGTGAAGACAAGGTCAAACAATGTGTGGATCCCAAGCTAAACAATGACTACCCACCAAAGGCAATTGCCAAGGTTGTATTTCTCTCTTGTGTATCTAATTAAAAACAAAAACAAAGAATAAACACTAATTTCCAACCATGATATATCCTTTATAAGATCTAACTTTACATGTTGGGGCTTCTGTATTTGGATACTTATATAATATATCAGCTAGCAGCGGTTGCAGCACTGTGTGTCCAGTACGAGGCGGACTTTCGGCCAAACATGACAATCGTTGTCAAAGCTCTTCAGCCTCTTCTAAATGCAAGACCAGCAGGAGCAGAACCTCCTCCACCATCATAAAATATATACACACACACACACACATACATACATGCATGCATGCTTGCATATATATGTTATATTGTTATATTTCGGACGTAATAAACAGTAGAAAAGGCTTGTGTAGTAGTAACTATTTTCTTCATATTTTGTATATATTTCCCTGTGAGGGTTTTACTTTGGCTGAAGAAGATGATACTATTTCTTGGAGATTCAATGGTATCATCGTAAAACCGATTGCAATGTGTAATTTTTTTGGGGAGTCTGAAGTGCATTAAACTGATGTTATTTGTTCATCTGCTAAGTTTTCAATTTTTATTTTAATTTTGGTTTTGTTTCCTTGCTACTTTTGCTTACTATTTTTCCCCATTTCTTTCGCATGATAGGCTATATTTTATATTAAAAATTTAGGAAATAAAAAACAAGTAAACGTGTTTAGTTATAAAATTTAAAAATAAAAATAAGTGAAAATTTTAAAACATAAAAAAACATTTTCAGTATTTTTACTAAAATTATTTCAAAATTTAAAAAAAAACAAAAGTTTTAGATTTTTAACTTACCTACCTAAATTTAAATTTTCTAACAATATTTTTTTTATTTAATGATATCTGAGTCCCTCAAACGTTTACAAAAAAAAATGTGACCCCTAATTTTTTTTATACTCAATATAACTCTTAAATTAAGTGAACAAAATCAATCCGACCCTATAATCAATGAAACTAAACGTTAACAATTAGGTTGTTGATGTTGTGTATCATTTTGCTTACGATATTATTTTTATTATATTTTTTAATTTAATTGGTGCTTAATATGCATTAACATTATCACTTTATTATACACTCAAATAATTTTTGTGTTATGAAGTTTTTATCATTTTTTTAATATTTACAACTCACGTGTATTTTTTTTATTAATCTAGGGTGAATACAATATAGCATATGTTCAAATATTTTCAATCATATGACATTGAACACTCATATCTCTGCCTACATAGTGCTTGAACTTGGGACCTCAAGAAATAAAAATAATCCTTTGACAACTGAGTCCGTTTGGTTCGTGTACATAACTCACATGTATGGATTTTTTTAATAATTATAATTTAATTCAATCATTTGTTAATTTATATTTTAATAAACAATATACTAAACATATTTATATTATTTTCATTTTTACAAAAAAAAATCATTTATATTAAATAAACAATTTTTTAAATTTTAAAAAATGAAAAATGTATTTTTAAAATTAAAATTAAAAAACAAAAATAGTTTTTTTCTAAAACCAAACGATCTTGTATTTTCTATTGAAATTTGAATATATGTCACAAGTATATTTATTTACTTTGCTTTCTCTCAGAATTAATCATATTACAATTACCAATAAGCGTGGTATATTGTTGTAATTATAATAATAGTATTTGTAAGAGAGATTTATATAAAATCCATTAATTTTTATCGAGAGAATTTTCTCCTCCTCAACCCCCAAACCATTCATTTGTTTTCAGAACTCTTACTATGACTGATGTTTTTTCATTTAAATTACATGTAAATTATCTTAAACTATTAAGCTATCGTTACCCATCAATGCAAACAATGTTCGAGAATAAAAATCATTTTATCTCTTATATCTAAAACATAATTAATTAATAATTTTTCGTACGAACTAAAAAGAAATAAATCATAAACCTCTAATTTAACAGTCGCTTCCTTATTATCTAAACTAAATCTCCCTTGAACATCAACCTTAAGCTATTTATCCTAAACAAAATCAAACTTCAACTAAAACACAAATAACATTAATCTTTTAAGATAAAAACCTTAGAAATGCATAATAGAGAATAAAAACTCGAATTACTAAGTAGCCAATAATGTATAAATTAATTAAACAGTAAAATGTAACTGGGGTACTTTATTTGAATAAAATATACAACTGATATACAAGGACGAAATTAATATACAACTTGAACCTAAACAAGTACGAAACAAATATACAAGGAGCAAGAAACAACCTTTATTTGAATAAAAAGGAAAAACAACAACAACTCTAAAATATTATATCTGAGGACGAATGTAAGATATTGTTGCGGAAGACGGCTATCGGATAGAGCAAAATCGCAACTGATAATTTGAGAAAATAAAAAATGAAGATAAAAGAGACACAAAATTTACGTGAAAAACCCCTAAAATATTTAGGGTAAAAACCACGGGCAACGGTAGAAAAATTTCACTATGAGAAAATAGGAATTACAACCTCTCTCGATCTACCAAGGAGAAAACAATGATAATTCTCTCTAGATAAAAAGGAGAAAACAACTCTCAAGAAACTCTCTAAAATCTCTCTAGTATTGAAAGAAAGCTAGAATGCTTTGGGATGATTTTGAAGCTAAATGAGCTAGGATATTTATAGTTGAAACCAAAGGACTAATTTGTAAATACCCTAAAATTTAGTGACTAAATTGAATTATCCCATTTTTTATATTTTCAACAAAAGGGGCCATGCACCTTTCGGTGCATTAATTTAGGCATCTTTCGGTGCTAGTCAACAATCTCCCACTTGAAGATTTGATTGGAACAATCATATCTTCACACCATTCTTTCTACCTTGTACCATCATGTTGCTTACGTTTCTGTCAGGCCACTAGAGGATCGACACCAGCTAAATTTATCAGCGTTGATTGCCTTCGTCATGAAATCTGTTATATTGTCTTTGGTATGGATCTTCTGCATATCTACCGTCCCTTCTTCCACCTTTTCACGAATGAAATGGTATTGAACTCGTATGTGCTTTGTCCTTGAATGAAATGTTGGATTCCTTGCTAGATGCAAGGCACTTTGACTGTCACAAAACAGAGAGACAAACTCTTGATTGTGCCCAAGCTCCTCCAATAGCATTTTCAACCAAATTGCTTCTTTACTGGCTTGTGTAGCTGCTACATATTCTGCCTCTGTTGTGGATGTAGCCACAACTGACTGTAATTTTGAAACCCAGCTTACAGCTCCACCAGTAACTTTGAACACATATCCTGTAGTAGATTTGCTTTTATCCAAATCTCCTGCATAGTCAGAATCGACATACCCATTTATTAGTAAGTTTGATCCTCCGTAACATAATGCAACATTTGAGGTCCCTTTGATGTATCTTAGGATCCTCTTTACAATATTCCAATGCTCTTTGCTTGGATTTGCCATGTACCGACTAACCACTCCCACTGCTTGTGCAATGTCTGGTCTTGTGCATATCATAGCGAACATTAAACTTCCCACTGCTGATGCATACGGTACTCGAGACATCTCCATCCTCTCTTCTTCACTGCTAGGACTCATACTGGAGGATAATTTGAAGTTAATAGGAAGAGGGGTAAAAATTGGCTTACAATCTTGCATGTTGAATCGTGACAAGATCTTCCTCAAGTAATTCTTTTGTGAAAGCCAAATCTTCCTATTACTTCTGTCTCGGTGAATTTGCATCCCTAGAATCTTGTTTGCTGATGCCAAGTCCTTCGTTTCAAATTCCCTAGCCAGTTGTGCCTTTAATTCTTCAATATGATCTTTGTTGGGTCCTGCAACCAACATGTCATCCACATACAACAGCAATATAACAAAATCATTATCACCAGACCTCTTGAAATAAGCACAAGGGTCTGCATTAAGTCTGTTGTATCCAAGGCACATAATGAAGGAATCAAATCTCTTATACCAATACCTCGGCGCCTGCTTTAGACCGTACAGAGATTTGTTCAACCTGCAAACCAAGTTCTTCTTTTCTTTTTCTTCAAAACCTTCAGGCTGGAGCATATAAATCTCTTCTTCAAGATTTCCATGAAGAAAAGCTGTTTTAACATCTAGCTGCTCTAGATGTAAGTTCAATGTAGCACACATTGCCAAGAGTACTCGAACTGTTGTTAGTCGAACCACAGGAGAAAAAATTTCATTGAAATCAATACCTTCTTTTTGAGCATATCCTTTGACCACCAATCTTGCACGATACCTCTCCACTTGATCGTCACCATTTCGCTTGATTTTGAAGACCCATTTGTTACCAATTGGCTTCCTTCCTTGTGGTAGTGGCACAAGGTCCCATGTATTATTTTTATGAAGGGCTTCGATTTCTTCTTGCATCGCCATCATCCATAATGAAGCATCTGAGCTGTTTATTGCTTCCTGGTATGTTGATGGCTCACCGTCCTCTGTTAAAAGGCAGTATGCAATATTACCTTCTATAATATAATCTGAGTGCCAATTGGGACGTCTTCTCACACGATCTGATTGACGAGTTATTGGAGCTTCAGAACTCTCTAGTTCTTGTTTATCATGAGTTGGTTCTGCTTCAGAAGAATCTCCTTGTTCAACCTCCTTTTCCACATGTATATGAGTAGTCTCTGACTTTTCAGCGCTAGCATCGTCTTCTTTTCTTTGTAGCTTATATTCTACAAAGATAACATCCCTGCTAATGATCACTTTGCGGGCAGTGGGATCCCACAAGCGATACCCCTTTACACCATCAGCATACCCCAAGAATTTGCATTTCCTGGATTTTGGATCTAGCTTTGAAATTTCTTGGGGGTTGTACATCACGTACACAATGCTTCCAAATACATGGAGGTTTGAATAATCAGCTGGTTTACCAGTCCACATCTCCATTGGTGTCTTCAGCTCTATTGCAGTTGATGGAGCTCGATTCACCAAATAACAGGCGGTATTGACTGCTTCTGCCCAGAATGATTTTTCTAAGCCTGCATCCCTCAACATTGCTCTTGTTCTTTCTAACAAGCTTCTGTTCATCCGCTCTGCCACTCCATTTTGTTGAGGAGTGTTCGCCACTGTGAACTGTCTTTTGATGTCTTCTTTCCTGCAAAAGTCATCAAATTCTTCACTTGAATATTCTCCTCCATTATCTATTCTGAAACACTTGATCTTATTTCCAGAATCAAGTTCCACCCGTGCTTTGAAGTTTTTGAAAGTTGAAAACACATCTGACTTCTTCTTAATAGGGTACACCCAATATCTCCTGGAGTAGTCATCAATAAATGAGACAAAATATTTTGCTCCGCCTAGGGATGTAACCGGTGCTTGTCATACATCAGAGTGAACCAATTCTAGAACACTTTTGCTCCGCCTA